ACCAGAGAGAGCTGAAATCGCCTATTCTGGGATGCCGAGGTGGAAAAGGGGGATGTGAGGTTCAGGGGGAATCACCCCCAGGGTGGGGGAGGGTGGCAGGACCCTTCGCTGCTCCCCCCCAGCTGGATGCTGTCCCCTCCATCTGCTCAACACCTCACAAGCACCACCACGGCTGGGTTAATACAGGTTTAACCAGGACCAGAATTAGCTTTTTGAGTCATAGAATCATAGAATCATAGAATTGCATGGCGGGACCCTTCGCAGCTCCCCCCCCAGATGGATGCTGTCCCCTCCATCTGCTCAACGCCTCACAAGCACCACCTCGGCTGGGTTAATACAGGTTTAACCAGGACCAGAATTAGCTTTTTGAGTCATAGAATCATAGAATCATAGAATTGTCCAGGCCGGAAGGGACCTCCAAAGGCCATCTAGTCCGACCCCCCCACAGTCAGCAGGGACACCCCCAACTAGACCAGGTTGCCCAGGGCCTCGTCGAGCCTCACCTTGAATATCTCCAGGGAAGGGGCCTCAACCACCTCCCTGGGCAGGGGCTGGTTCTAAAGGACCAGCTCCAAAAAGGCTTTCACCTTCACGATAGTAAAATTGGAGCATCCCTGTGTCACCCACATGACCCCGGCTTCCATCTCATTCCTTCCCAGCCACAGCAAGACCCCAAAAAACACGGATTGAGGGGGTTAAAGCTGCCACCCAGCTCAGTTTGGCAGCCCCCGGAGATGCCTGGATCCAACCACATCCTTCCCCCCCTGCCTTGACTTCCAGCCGCTCTCATCCTGCCCGGCAGGGCTGGGCACAGAGCAGGGGAGGGGGGGGCTCTGCCCCGCTCGCTGCTCACGAAGGTCACCGAAACGCTCGGGAGCTTTGCACGAGAATCTCGGCGTAAATGTCAAATTAATTAACTGGGAAAGATGTATGCGTTGCCACAAAAAGCCCTCTGTTTCGCCCCGCCGCCCTCCCTCCCACCTCCGCTCTCCCCGGAGCCAGGCACTGGCTGGGGTTTGCCAAAGCCGTGGCTGGGGGAGGCCGAGGACCCCCGGACACTCCCGATGGCAAATTTACCCCCCCTCCCTCTATAAAGCACCGTGTCAAGGAAACAGGGAGAAGCACAAAGCGAGGATGGAAAAGCTGGGAAAACCTCCCCGGCAGCAGCCGCTCCTCCCTGCGCACACGTGTTGCGGCACCGTCTCCAGGGACACGGGATGGGAGGGACCAGCATCTTCTGCCGGGGCCGGGCTGACACCCCCGGGGTGAAAAACAGAGGCACGTCCCCCCCCTTCTGCCCCATGGAGGGGGGTCGATGGCATCGCCCATTTTGCAGGATAAATCCTTCTCCGGCAGCTCCCTGGGGTCCTGAGCCTTGTGCAGGCGTTGGAGTGGGGAGGATGAGGAGGGAAGGGGGATGCTGAGGGATGTTGAGGGATGTTGGGGGATGCTGGGGTATGTTGGAGGATGTTGGGGGATGCTGGGGGATGCTGAGGGATGCTGAGGGATGTTCAGGGATGGTGAGGGATGCTGAGGGATGTTCAGGGATGCTGGGGGACATTCAGGGATGTTCAGGGATGCTGAGGGATGTTCAGGGATGCTGGGGGATGTTCAGGGATGCTGGGAGATGCTGGGGGACATTCAGGGATGCTGGCGGATGTTCACGGATGCTGGGAGATGCTGGCTGGGGGATGTTCACGGATGCTGAGGGATGTTCAGGGATGTTGGGGGATGCTGGGGGATGTTCAGGTATGTTGGGGGATGCTGAGGGATGTTCAGGGGTGCTGGGGGACGTTCGATGTTCAGGGATGCTGGGGGATGTTCGGGGATGCTGGGGGACGTTCAGGGATGCTGAGGGATGTTCAGGGATGCTGAGGAATGCTGGGGGATGCTGAGGACCACAGCTCCAGTGAAGGTCCCCTCCCACTGCTCCCAGGGGATGCCGAAGCACGTGCCGAAGGGAGTTTTCTCCCCAAATAACTGCTCCCCATCTCCCGAGTGCTGAGGCTGGGTTCACAGAGATGCCCAGCGCCGGGTTGGTTCATCGAGGAGCAGAACAGAAGCAAAGAACCCACCCGGAGCCAGGCAGGGGGTGAGGGTGGGATCAGCCCCGGCCTCCCTGCCCCGCTCCGAGAGTGGGGAAAGCCCGGTGGGATGAGGATGTGGGAAAGAGTTAACGCCCCGACTCAAAACTATTTTAGAGTTTTAAAAGGTTCAGGAAGGGGAAGGTTCTCGTCTCCCAGGGCTCGGTGCCTCCTGGCAGGGTTTGGTACCCGGCTCACGTCCTGCTGGGGACGGGCATTCCCCCGGCCCCGCTGCCGTCTCCCAGGGCTCCCGCTCGTCTCCGGGAAAAGGGAGCCTTAGGGACACTTGGGGACTTAACCCCCACTTCACCCACACCACACACAGGCAGGGACAGGAGATTCCAGTGGTCAGAAGACTCTTCACCCCTCAGGAAGCTCTAGGACCTTTTGCTATTATTGCTCAATTTCTCCCTGAACTTGCTTCACCTCTTGCTGGGGAAGGAAGGAGCTGGGTGCTGAGCTCAGCTGGATGGGGGGAGCTGGGATGTCCCTACAAACCAGGCCAGGGGGGACCACCGGGGTCACACCACGGGGCTCAAATGCACCCCCCCGGGAGCCAGGCTGAGCCCTAGCAAACTCCTGACATGCCACACGAGTTCACGGCAGCCCCCAGGCACCCAAAACCTCAGAAGGGAAGGAGCCCCCATGGCCCTGATGCCACCAGGGAGCTGCCTGCCCCGGGCACTGGGCAAACACCGTGCTGAGAAGGGGGCCCAGCAAACCCCCAGACCCCCACACGGGTACCGGTGGGACCCAGAGGTGCGGGGGATGCTAAAACCCGCAAATCCTCTGCAGGGGGAGGTGGATGCTCCACCCCAAAGCTCTGCAGGGCTGTGGGGACATCTCCAGGTCCCACGTTCCCCACCACCCCTCCAGACTCAGCCGAGGGTGGGTTTTAAGGGATTGCAAGGAGCAAGGGATGCTGCCCGGCGTTCCCCCCCTCCGGGAGAGCTCCATGGAAACACGAATCCCCGTCACCTCCCTGGTACCCGGCAGCAGGAGCAGGGTGAGGAGTTGTCCCAGACACAGCTCCAGCGGGGAGAGGGACTTGAGAGACTGCGGGAAGGTTACAGCTCATCAACGCTCCCAGTAATTAAGGTGACGAGTTGATCCCTAAGCTCATGGCTCGGCCAAGCCAGCCAGGGCTGAGGCAAAGCATCCTTCACCAGGACTCAGGGTGCCCAGACCGGGGGTGTCACACGGGGGGGGGTGCACTGGATGCACCCGCTCTCCCACCATCTCACTACAGCCCAGCCCATGGGCCACCCTCTCTCATTAAGTCAGCTAATTAATGTGAGCAGTGCTGCCTGGCACTGCCCTGTCCCCCTGCCCGCGCTGTCCCCAAAGCCTCCTCAGATGCCACTCGGCTGCCAGCATCCTGGCTCCCCACAGAGGCCCTGCACCGAGGAGGAGGAGGAGGAGGAGGAGGAGGAAGAGGAGGAGGAGGAAGAGGAGGAAGAGGAGGAGGAAGAGGAAGAGGAAGAGGAAGAGGAAGAGGAAGAGGAAGAGGAAGAGGAAGAGGAAGAGGAAGGAGCGATAACCCCAGCCTGTGGGTGTTCTGAGGGGTGAGGAGCCACCAGTGCTCCCAGCCATGCAGAAAACAGCCCACACTTGGATTCTTGGGTGTCTAATCGGGGGTTGATCTCACCCCCCGGATGCGGGGGCTCCTCTCCACCCAGCTGCCTGGATCCCCCAAACAGCTCCAGACCTTGTCCTCCCTCAAAGTGGTCCAGGGTGATGGGGGTCGGCAGGGAGGAGCAGGGTGAGCTCCTGAGCTTTGGAGTTCGGGGGAATCCTGGCCAAAGCCAAACCCACGGGCCCGTGACACTGCTGGGAAAACCCACTCGGGGTGGGGGGATGGGGGGATGGGGTCTCGCCAGCAGAGGCAGCCCCTGCCCCACAGTGCTCCCAGGGAGGCACACAAAGGGTTAAAGGGACCGATCCCAGCTTCCCTGAACCCGGGGCCAGGAGGGATCACAGCCATGGCCAGATCAAAGGGATGTGCTGAGTCCCGAGAGACTCGTTACAGTTCCCAATGCTCTGGCAACACCACGTCCCTGCTCCAGGGCCAGCGGCCCCCGGCCCTCCCCGGGACAGGGACATGTGGCTCCTGTGTCCCAGGGAGCTCATGGGCTCGGGGCCAAGGGGGGATGGAGTTATTTGTCCCTTCTCTGCAGTGCAAATATTGATTAATTAATTAATTATCCGGGTGCTGCCCTGGAGAAGGGAGCGGGGTTTGTGGCCAGCGTTACCCAATTCCCCACACAACCCCACCAGGGGAACCGGGGGTCCCCAAAATCCATCCCCCGTCCCGTCGGCACGGCAGCCGGGACGGGACACACCAGGGCTGCTCCAAATCACTGCTCCCACCCCAGCAACCCCGGGGAGAAGCCAAGACTTTGTCCAACGAGACCAAATGATTTAAAAGCCTCCATGAAGAGAAGCCAGGAGCAGAGAGACCTCGGTCCCCTCCAGCTGAGGATGCCCCATGTCCCCTGGAGCATCCCTCCCTCACGGGGGACACCGGCCTCCTGCCCCCCTCGGGCTGCCTCCCCCAGCCCCAGCCCTACCCCATGGTCCCCAGGAGCATCCCACCACCTCCCACCCCTGCATTTAATCAGCCCGTAACCTTTCCTGCTTAATTATCCTCCTGCATCACCCTCTACCAACTAAAATCCCCCAAATGGGGAAAGCTTATTTGGGGGGGGAGGGAGCCCCCCTGCAAGCGACCCCACGCCCACCACGGGTGATGGAGAGGGAGGCACGGCCACACACACCTCTCACCACCACCACGGGCCCCCAGGGATGGAGGGGAGCTGCTGGAGGAGCTCAGGCTTCCCCGGATCGATGGCAAAGCGCGATATTTGGGTTTAATAAAGCGGGATTCACCGCTGCCGGGACCAGTCAATCACGCACCTGATGGGCTCCTCGGTAGCGGCTCCGCAGCCTCCTCCCAACCACCCGAGTCACCTCCTGCCTCTTCAGGAAAGGGAATAACGGGTGCCGGGAGAGGCGGGAGGACGCCCCGCATGCACCCGCTGCCCCGCAAGAAATAGGGGCGTGCCGGTCCACGGCACCCCCCCCAAAAAACCCCCATGACCCCCCAGGAGGATGGGGAAGAGCTCAGGGTTATTTAATGCAGCAGGTCGGGTGCTGGCGAGTGGCCAGGCCATGGGATGCTTCCCTCTGGAAAAGAGGAGGAGGAGGAGGAGGAGGAAGAGGAGGAGGAGGAGGTGGCAGCCGCCACCTTCCTCCCGGAGCCGCTGCTGCTTCTCCTGACAGCGCTGGAGCACACTAGTAGTGTGGGAAAAGCATGTCCTGGTCACAGGAGGGTCCTGCCAGTACAGCATCACCCCACGGAGACACCCCGCGGCCCCCAGGCGCTCCCCTCAGCCACTCCTGGGTGGTGGGCAGGGGGCAGGCAGGGTGCAGGGTGCAGGCAGGGTATAGGCAGGGTACAGGCAGGGTATGGGCAGGGTATGGGCAGGGCACAGGCAGAAAAGATGCAGGCAGGGCTCAGGCAGGGTGCAGGCAGGGTTCAGGCAGGGTACAGGCAGGGTTCAGGCAGGGTACAGGCAGGGTACAGGCAGGATGAAGGCAGGGGGCAGGCAGAAAAGATGCAGGCAGGGCTCAGGCAGGGTGCAGGCAGGGCTCAGGGTGCAGGCAGGGCATAGGCAGGGCTCAGGCAAGGTGCAGGCAGGGTGCAGGCAAGGGCTCAGGCAGGGTATGGGCAGGATTAAGGCAGGGCACAGACAGGGTGCAGGCAGGGTGCAGGCAGAGCTCAGGGTGCAGGCAGGGCTCAGGCAGGGTGCAGGCAGGGCTCAGGGTGCAGGCAGGGTGCAGGCAGGGCTCAGGCAAGGTGCAGGCAGGGGGCAGGCAGGGGGTCGGGCGGGGGTGGGGCAGGG